CATCTGTGTTTGGTGTAACAAGCTCAAAGGAGTCTGACTGAGTCGAGGCAGCTCTGTCGTTTTCCTTGAGAAAGGAGGGTCCTGAAAACCAATTTGTCTCTTCCAAGAGTGCAGCTTGTGCTGGTCGCGTGCCATGGTCTGCAGGATTGTGCTCCGTGCTGACGAAGTACCACTGTTCTGGGTGTGACGACTTCCGGATGCGTGCAACTCTGTTAGCGACGTACACATAGAACCACACAGATCTCTGACAATTGCCTTGCCTTGTACTGTTATTGGAGCCACAAACCCCAGTGGATCGAATACACTGTTGACTGTAGAGAGAATGCCCCTACGGGTGAATGGCTTTTCCTCTCTAGAGACAAGGAAGGTAAAGCTGTCAGATTGAAGGTGCCAGTTAAGACTCAAACTTCTCTGCAGCGGTAGAGGGTCCACACCTAGCTCTAAGTCTTTCAGCTCTTTAGCACGTTCTTCGGGCAGAAATGCTTCCATCACTGCATTATGGTTGAATGCTATTTTATGCAGTTGTATGTTTGAGTCGGCTAACATTCCTTTGGTCTTTTTCAGGACTTGGATGGTGTCGTCGTCAGTGGAGAATGAGGTAAGTCCGTCGTCAACATAGAAGTTCCTGAGAACGAACTGTTTTGCCTCTGTGCCATATTCTTCCTGACCTTGTAGGGCCGCTCTCCTCAAACCATATATGGCAACAGCGGGAGAGGGGCTATTGCCAAAAACGTGTACAGTCATGCGGTACTCTGTACTGCTGTGATCTTTTTCGTAGGGTCATTGTCCTCAAGCCAGAGGAAACGTAAGCAATCACGATGCTCCTGGCAGACCTTGAAGCAGTAGAACATTTGTTCTATATCCGCCACCATGCCACAGGTTCCTTGCGGAAGTGTTATTCACCAAAACGGGACACCAAAACGGTAAGTCACACATGTACTTCACACACTAACGATATACTTACAGACTAATGTCCCCTCTAGGTACAGCAGGAATTCAATTCAATTAAATTCAATTTGTATAGCGCCAATTCATAACAGAAGTTATCTCAGGAAAAATGAAGTGTGAGTGGAGATAACAACTTTGATGAAGGCTGGAACGAACAAACGGTGCAGCAGCCTAAACAATTCCCCGACACTCTTAAAGGGGCGGCACAGATTTGTCTGATGAACACGAAACACAGTAGTAGTTCCCCATACCCCACTTAAGGTTGTGTGTAAAATTTGGCGCCACCAGGTGGCGCTTTTATTGTTAAATCAAAAAATATATTAAAATAGCCTTTCCAAACTACTGTTTTTCAACCAAATGTTTTCCGATCTTTGTGCTGCTCCCAACCTGCAAGTCAGTGACCGTGGGTCTGCGGAATCAACTTCTGTGACTTCCGCGAGTTGCTGGGTGCAAAGCTTGCGCCGGGAGGCTTGGACCTGTTAATACCTACTATTATCTTGGGCTTAGAAAAAAAACTTCAGGACTGCGGCCCACAAAATGCTCAGGCCAGGCGACGCCCATGGTTAGCAGTGCTCTTTTCCCCAGTGAATGTTTGTTTGGTAACTAGTTTAACAAGCTAAGGTTCAAAACAAGACGCATGTTAATGTTTGTGACTTCGATAAGGAAGATACTTTAACAGGAAAGCTAATATTAGTTGTTGTTCAGAGTCTCTCTGCCTAGGATAGAACGCTGACATTTGTGAATAATATATAAACGCAGACAGGTTTGTGAATGAAATGTTGTTTTAATGGGGTTTGGAAACATTTCATTCAACCATACATCCATTAACAATTTCTGATTGGCTGAAGAGCAATTCACAGTTTTTGAGGATCTGAGGATCAATTCACAAAAGCCATTGTGCTATATGAGTCTTCTTATCTTGAAGCCAGGCTTTTTGGAAGACATTTGACCTCAGGTACTTACTAACTTACTTGCTAACCTACATATTGAGGAGGGTTGTTTTTATGGTATTAGTATTAGTATAGTAAGACAGAAAGATCACCTTATTTCATGTGTCCGGTGTAGACGTGTTCAATTTTTAGCTCATTACTTTAATGCTCTCATTTACTGACCAAAACGGTCTATTTTCAAATCAACAGAGAAAGAAAATATACCATGTACCAATGCATACCTCCTTTATTTCATTTTCTGTATGTCAAGCCATTACAACACAACCATGATAGTCTGTGCTAACATTTTCATTCTCAACTATACAAGTTAGTCTGTCACACCCCGTCTGTGCATGGAAAACTGTGATATGGTACAGTATAATTTAGTTTAACAGCTCTTTACATCAGTATGGTTGATTCCGTTTTTTTCTAACTTGCAAAATAAACCTAAATCGACAAATCCACTAAACAGTGAGAATCCTAAGCTAAGAGAGGCGTGTGGTCAGAACAGAGACCAAAAGTGGAGAGAGAAGACGTAATTTAAAAAAAATAAAATGGTGAGAGAAGTATTCAGGCACTTAGAAATACTCTCGAGTCCTTGGCTACACTGTGCTTCATTACATTGTACATGCATTTTATACCCTATCCTGATCCTGTCATGAGGAGTAGGAGGTTGCCTCTACAAGACAAGGCTAAGGGGTGTAGCACATTCAAGAACAACTAATTAAAGGGATTTCAAGTATTTCACACAACATCAACGTTCCTATTTACATGTGATCCTAGTGTTCTCTACCTACATATTCTCATTGCATATCCCCTAAGACGTCATTTTGACAACCATTATTGTACAAATTCTGACAAACGATTAAAACATGAACTGACAGGAAATTTCTCGAGATATCAGCAATACCCAGTATCCAACATTTCACCAATCATGTGCAGGATTTCTTTAAGTTATTATTTAAAGTAGGTAGTATTTATATAATGAGCATTTTGTTGAAATCTAATTTCCTGTACCCTTTACATATCAATCTTGTCTTTCATGTGGCTTTTATTGGCTTTCTCTGGTCCAATGTTTGACTGAGCTCCAGCAGCTGTGATGGCAGGGAACCCATTTGAGAAAATGACAGCATCAATTTTCTCTTCACCCGCTGCCGGGAACATTACTGTACACAGTGTTATTAAAGGGAAATGATGCATGCATTGGCAGCTTGGCTTGAATAGGGATGTTTGTGTTGATTTGTTATGACTGAGATGATTGTATAGTCTGCCATCCCCACATTTGAGAAATCTGTCCTCCCCATGAAAGGACCTGATAAGAATGAAATGAAGTGAAGGCAAACGGCAACAATTAACAATAACAGCATTGACTCTGAAGGACTGGAGTAACCACAAAACACCAACAAGAAGAGTCCACTGAAACTGACATTTAGTCTTGTGCTTACTTCTTATCAGTATAAATATACAAAGACGGACTCTGATTGACAACAGCTGACTAAAGACAACAGGAACAAACGTAGACTTCACAAACTTAAGGAAGAAATGTACAGTACAACACAGCATCAGCCTGTCCACAGATGTTTAACCATCACCACAAACTCTGTATTCCAAAACATCAAATAAGACACTCATAGTCACAGAAGACAATGTAATCTCAACTCAAGGTCTGCTTTTTTCAGAACATTCAGCCACATCTCGCAGTCTTCCACCAGTTGTCATGGAGATAGTTCAGTTTGTCATTATGTGCCCTTATCATGGGGGGCAACATGGGAACTGAACATTGGGGCAATGTTGCCAAAGCTTAGAAAACGTTCAGGGATGTATTCACCATATTTCCTTTTTTACAATATCCGAGTACAGTAACTACGGTATGGTTAAGGTTTGAGGAAGCTTGTGGTTATGGCATGGTTAAAGCAAGGTCCGTAAACACTACGCAAGCTCCTGCATCAAACTCAGACATGCTACAAACCCTTCCATCACCCTGACCTGAAAGGCACGCTATTTCCTGCACTGACACTGAGAGTTGATGATGGGAGTAAATTGTAAGGTTTTAATCATCCATTATCATCCATCATTGGGCATAATTTCTAGGGTAGTGGCTGGTTCAAAAATGGTCTCTAGCATTGAATGTGAATGTTCTTTTTGACGTTTAACCGGCTAATTACTGGTTGATGACTTTGACCTTTAACTAGTCGTGACCTGTTTTTGTATGACTGTATATATTATTTTGATCTAACCTTTTAAATATTATCAAAATTAATGTTACATCACATGATCGTCACTTGATCGAAGTTTCATACTAAGGTCACATGATTAAAATTTAGCAAACTCCATTTGCTCATGACGTCTAGAGATTAGGTCAAAAGCTCTGAGAAAAGCTAATAATAAAACCCCAAGTTAAGATAATTTTGGAGAAAATTTTTTCGAAGGTCAAGAATGAACTGTGTCGTTTGTTTTGGGGCCCCTTTTCTAAAATGGTATTGAATATCCGTATCCCTTAACAGACAGGGTCCTTTACCAAGCACATAGTGTAGTTTTCTGCCATACTAATTTAGGTCAGAAATCAATGAATGTAATAAATACCATTTGCTTGCAGCTAATTGTACCAAGAAAGCTCTTGGCCAAATTTGGAGGAACCTTTGGAATGCACATGCCTTGCTGATCCGCAATGACATTTTTGGTCTTGAATTGCAACTCAAAAGCCAGACTTAGCATCACTTTTGGGTGTAATTGGGTCTGGTCACAAGCGTATTTTGTTGCACCTGTAACCACACCCAACAGTAATGTCATGGTGTGCTATACTTGTAGCAAACAAGATGACAAGTTACACCACTGGAGACCAGCAGAAACCAGGCAAAGAAACTCAAGTTTGTGCAGTTCAGCAGTGACTTTTAGATTGTGAGACGATGACTGCAGACTGCGAAGGTTTTCGTTGGCACCATAAACTAAATATCACATGTAACGTTCTAGTAACACAAGGACATACCGACTTTACCAAATTTGAGAATTCTGTATCGTATGAGCATGTTTTGTGATCCAAAATAAGATTAAACACAGGCAAAGATTTAAACCATGCAACCCTGTATGGATGCTTTTTGAAAGGATTAGGTCATATTTCAATAATTACATAGTTATTAATAATATAATATAATAATCATTTGATAAATGTAACATTCATTTTGATAACATTTAAAAGGTTAGATCAAAAGTTTGTCATTGCAATGCAGACAAATTAATCTAATATAAATGAACATTAATCTTGGTACTGGTATTACATATAATTGACATATATCCACTAAAATATCTACAATTTTGCTAGGTTGTTAATGGATGTTTTGCATGCCAGGTCAACCTCTGAAAAGTTTACAGGCATGTATCTTTATTAAACTGTTAGCACATAATGGCTGAAATATATTTGTGGATAGTGACAGAGTTGTTTATAGCAATGACTCACTGTCTGACGTGTGCTGTTTGAATGGCAGGTTGTTGCCGCCGCCATAACAAAAACTGTTTGCTCAGTTTATCATATCAAAACATCTTGTTATAAAAAGATATTTTCATGTTATTACTATGTACCAAATCTTTAAAATAAAATTACTATGACAATATACACATGAACCTTTAAACTGTCTTTACTTTATTATTTTTTGATTGATGATCAGTTCTAGTCTTTTAGGATAATAATTTGTAAATAAAAATAAACTAAAAAGACGTCAATTTTTTTAAACAAAATTTCGGGTGAAAAATGTCCATTGCGATTGCTTGTAAAGCGTAATTAGTGAGTGCATGGTATTAACCGCAGGCCACTCAGGTGTACAAAGATATGACCAAGGTGACCAAGTTGGCTGTGTAGCTACATGTTATTTAAATATTAAGCAATGAACTAATGTAGGCTAGTGTTTTCTTTTCAGACACTGACTGTATCTTCTTTCTTATAATATTATAAAGATGGTTATATAATGAGCAGAGTTGGTATGTTGTTAATTGTTTTCATGAAATATATCATTATCATGAAATAATGAAAATGTTCCTTGATATGACAAAATAAGTATAGGTTTCTTGTAAAACCGAATAATTCTGTATGCAGTAATAACAAGAAACAATGTCATTATCACATAAAAATATCTAAATAGCTAAAATATTTTAACATGAAAATAATCTCATTATGATTACGAGAAACTGAGCAGACTTGTATTGAGATGAATGTAGTTTTGGAATAGCAGTGTTATCAGTGTTATGCAGGAACCACAAACTTCTCATACCATTTCAGCTTAAAAGCCTTATTCCCAAGTGTAAACCAAAACTCTCATTAGGATTAGCATTATGATTATTGTATTGTTGTATATAACAAATAATACACAATGCGGTCATTTAAGAATAATGCATGCTGTGGGCTGATTGCACCCACATTTGCCTCCACAGAGTGCATTATTGTTTAATAGCTATACAAGTTGGATTGGATTATCCTGCTTACACCATGGAGCACTTGCTACAATTAAAATGTACGTTTTTGTTTTTGCTTTATTTTGGGGCAGTACATTCTTTAAATGGAAACTTGTATCTGCACCTTTTTTGCCTATCATGTAACGAACAATACTTCCCTACTCCAACAAGGAGAAGCTGTAGCCTCGTAAGAACTGAAATCAGGCTATGAGAATTAATTCATGAATTCAATGAGAACATTGTGTCAGAGGAGTGTGGTTATGTGAAAATAATGCACACCGTCTGACCAAACAGGATCTATGGATGCCCATTTCTGCCTGGAAAAAGTTATTTTTTAAAATTATGAGATAGTTAGTCATTATTTTGAGACACTAGGCTATACTGACTTCACTATAGATTCACTACAGTAATTAATACTAGTCATTTTGTTAACACTTGTTTCCACCTCAACATCTGTCTCAGTGTGCCAAACATTAAATTAAATTCACACCGAGCTAATCTAAATTAATCTGTGATTTTAATAACAGCTGTTGTACATACTTTATTAGTTTTCGTGGCTTTTTTGCTATTACCTTGCCAGAACTGTGACCCTGAACCATGGTTGGTTGTATGGTAGAACCACTGGTTCTAAGCTAATTTAACTTGGTGCGTAATGGTGATAGTATATGATAGAATATGTAGGTGCCGGTAACAATGACAAGTTAGCATCTTTTAATTTTGTCTTAAAACGTTAATATTTTTTAGTAACTTTATATGTTCATTTTAACAATTTAACCATTAATCATTCTTAACATTAATCATTCATTACTTTTCTTGACAGAAATCGACTTCCGTAGATTCCAATGTTCTCCATAGCCGCGATGTGACATGGTTAATTAAATATTTCAGTGAAATCTTGCCTACCCATCCCTATCAAATATGTCTTAATTGTGATTTTTTTTTGTATAAAAACACAACACCACAGCTAAAGGCAAGCAGGAAGATATGACAAATACCTCCCATCTGCAATGGTCTAAAATATCACACACTGTATAGATTAAATAGTCTCCATAAGTAGGCCATGGATTCAGAAATGTTGACTAGATTTTTTAATTTACATTTAAACTAAAGGGGTATGAAGATGCAGTTGGTTTAGCAAGAGTTGCAAAACTCGATGTACATTTTATCGTGGGCTTTGAGATGCCAAAATGAGGGCTCTCAGAAATGAAGTTTAGGGTGTCACGTCTTACAAATATATTTCTTTTTTATCAGATATTCCAAATTTTAACCTAAAAAAAGCCATTATCATGTCAATATTTAAACCTGAGATTCAAAACCTTCAAAACTCCATATGCAATTTTTTGTAGAAAAGACAATGTTGGTGTTGAACCATTAGACTCTGTGGCCTCCCTTCTCATCTCATTTTAGATCAGTCATGAACAAACCCTAGTAAGGACATACGACAAAATTTCTAAAATACAAAGATTTCTCAGCAGATTTGATGCTCACATCACCTAAAAGTTTGAATTAGTAAACACTATAAATGTGGGTCCTGTTACATAAACATTTTGGTGTTCATCAGGTTTTGTGGGATACAGTCACATTGATACTGCTGTCAGACAACAGTGCTTATGTCGTCGGCCTCGTCAGGTTTCTTGGGCTTGCTGGGGAGTGACTTGAGGTACTCCAGATGTCGTCGGGCATCCTCCTGGTTCTGACGGACATAATATACCACATATGAAATGACCATGGCGAACCAACCGAACATGGTCACCAGCATGGCGTAGTCTGTGGTCCTTTTGGCCAGGTTACAGAGGTCTGTTTCCACTGCCAAGAAAGGTCGTCCCTCCTGGTCACGGAGTGCCGAGCTCCTGCAGAGGACCCGAGCGGCGGCCTCGTGGTTGTGAGCCATTCCGCCGATGGCCTGCTGGAGGGCGCAGTCACAATGCCAGGGGTTATCGTCCACAATGACGCGGGCCTTGAGCCGAGCGAAGGCATCCTTGTGTACGCTAGTGATGCGATTGTGGGAGAGGTCCAGCACCTGTAACGTTGCCTCTATGCCACTGAAGGCACCTTCCCCTAAAGTCTCCACTGCATTGTATGAAAGGTTGAGCTCCCTCAAAAGCCTGAGTCCATGGAAGGCTTGATCGGGAACGGCGCCTATCTGGTTGTGGTCCAGCCTCAGAAGGACAGTGTCGGCCGGGAGGCTGGGGGGGATCTCCTTGAGGCGGGACTGACTGCAGGTAACGTTGAGGCCATGTAGGTGGGGGTCGCGTAGGCAGATGCAGCCCTTTGGACACATGCTGGCCGAGGGGAAGCAAAGGGCCATGAGGACAAGGCTCTGAAGGAGCAGGCACATGGGGATGGAGCGCGACAGCCACAAGTCCAGCAGAGTCATACTGACCGGCCGTCAGCAGCATCCCGCCTGGGGCCACAACACCGCCACTGGTCCCTTACACTCATCGCATAGTGGCGACTGGTCCTTACTGTCCTTCCGCTGGAGATACTGGAGTGTGAACAGATGTTATCATGCTGCCTTGAGGCCTGAAACAACATCAAACAGAAAGACAAGATGAACAAATACAGTTCCTGCATTTGACCTAGTGTGACATTTTGTTTGTTATTCTATTTGTCATTAATACCATCACAGGGCCTTCAAATTTGGATATTTGTATTCATGGAAGACCATATTTTTCTGGATTCCCGATCAAGTTTTTTTGGCCCTGATCCCAATTAGAGTCCTTTATCTGCTGATAACAAATCCGATCCAATACTTTTTTTTTGCTTAAGCACTGATTAAATGTGTGTCAAATTGTTCAAGCATAGTAACAGGAATGCTAGAGATTGTACCCAAATGCAGACTCAGAGTAATTAATGGCAAAGTCAATACAAAAAGGCTTATGGGATGGTCAGGTAGGCACAAAACCAGATAAACACTCCAATACAGGCAAACAAACCCATGGCAAAAAATCCAAAGTCCATAAATACGTGAGAAGAAGAAAACAAAGTAAAAGGGAAAAGACAAACTGGCCCTGAGACAAAGGAACATTTCCTAGTTTGTACATCCTTGATTTCTCTCCTCGCCTCCTTTCCTTGCATCTTTGTCTCTCCCACCAGAGATGCGAACGGAGGAGGCAAGGACAGACAGAAGAGAGAGGAGTCAAGACGACAGCCATTTCACAAAATGAGAGGTCCTTGCTTCAAAGTCAACAACGACACAGCTGCATCGTCTGTTCAATGTTTTCTTATAGACCTCTGTCGGATAAACATAACCATGTTCAGAACAATTCACGTGTCATAATGTGACAAGAATGT